CTTGGTAGGGGAACAGTCGGATGGATTGTTTGCAATAGGCGCTGACTAGTGACAATAGGCCAGTGTTTCGCAACAGGGGGTCTCGGATCCCCGGGGGTCAAAGACGGCATGCCAGGAGGCCCGAGAGAGAACGGGGTGAGAGGGATTGGATAGTGGGCGTGATGAGAGATGCGAGAAAGAGTCGAGATGAGGCTTCATTCTTATCCATTGATGTAGGTGAGTCATCTCGGGTTGTGAACTCGGCCTTCTACTGCCCACCTTCATTTTTGAAATATCTTTGTTTTGTTTTGTTTCAGGTTCTCATGAAATTATATTGTAGGGGGTTCGAGGGCAGCATAAAATTTTCTAGGGGATCCACAGGACAAAAAAAGGTTGGGAACCACTGCAATAGGCCCTGGAAATCAGTTTGTTGAATGTACACGCAGACATATAGTCATTAAGAATAGCATATACTTTTGTAGATTCGTACAATATGCAACGTGTATATTTTATGTCGAGGAAGAACATAGACAATGAATGAACTTACGTACTGTTGCTCTCACGACGCAAGCTATCTGTCATTCTAGAACATGGTATTAGAATTTAGCAACTAACCTAGAAAGCATCACACGGATCGGGTGAGCATGCCAATGTTTTAGTATTAGTACGAATTTTCGATTAAAATCTGTTGTCATTTCCTAAGGTATTTACATTTCAGTATTTGTAACTTATTTCTTTATTGTTGGTCATCTTTATATTTCTAATTGTAAGTGTAAAACTGAATCGTTATAGAATTTTACACGTCATTTTCACTCAAAATTTTGTCGCATTGTAAACAGTTATTACTTTTGAGTGCGCTGACATTCGAACGAGCAAACGACCAAAACCGCTTTAGAGAACGTTCTCTCGTTATCGCTCCTCGACATGAATTTTTCAGTTCATCTGTGAAAGCAGTATGAGTCATAAATGCGCCATGATTCAACCAACCCAAAATTCAGCTTAGCCAAAATGCCTCAGAAATAAAAAACTACACTATTCTTATCATAAGATTCTGCAATGGGTTGTTTTCGGTCCATTCAGTATTGAATTAATTATTTATTCTGGTTTTAGTTTGGAATGCTTAAAGCGTTCTTAAGCACTTCACAAATACAATCTGGGGAATATTTGTATGGTATTTATTTGCACTGAATTTTTGTCTATTTTCTTGCCCTTCTGTTTTGTGATTAAGCCATACGGTGCCATTTTTTGAGCCTTATCAAGACACAGCCAACCATGTTGTCGCGTTTTATTTGTTTTTATCGATCGATTAAACTTGTTATATTTAGTTGCTATGGTATTTTCAATTAATTTTCAATGCCCAAATATTTCTCATTACGCATTAACTGCATTCTATCTTCATTCACACGCTCTGTCCTCATAAAACCATACATGAAATTATGCATGATATCACGCATTCAAAGGTTTTGGTCAGATTTAAATGCTGTTTTCGGGATCGATTCATCTGATTTTCGTTCATTTGTGAGAGTATCAAATTCGTTGATGATTGTAGTCAAGTTTTGTACTGATGTTGTTGCTCGTCAAGTAGAGCGTTGATTGTTTGAAAGCTGTGGAGTGCTTCTTTCACAAACAAACCAATCAGTTAAGCGTACACTGAAAAGAACATCTTTTAATCATCTACTATATTTATTTGTGTTACTCTGAACAAAACTGAGAGTATAGAAGTAGACGGCGAAATAATCTTCATGGAGTTGCATTGATAATGAAGTTCGTGCTTGCTGTTCAGTTCCTTTTTCATATCACATTTTGTACGATAAAACGTTTAACAACTGCAATATAAATTGTAATACAACACACCAAAACAATCGTTCCTTGTTTTAATTGAGTTTATTGGATATTTTCGATAATTTATGAGACGTCTCATTCGTCAGAAAGCAATGGCAAAATTCTCGACGTTCGCAATAATTCAGTGAGAGTTGGGTTTTTGGAAAATGTCATCTATTGAAAGGATCGCATGTTGAAGGATTTTGTATAATGAGACACGGATATGTTCAGCAGTTGCACTAGTCCAGTTTCTCACTGAATCGATGTTTTTGTTTGTTGTTTTCGCTTTTAATTTATGTANAAAAACATTCTAAGTAATCATAGATCTTTGAGTGACTCACATTTCGACCACAATTTCTTTTCTATATAAATGTTCTCTCCGCGTTTTACTATTCAGTCCTGTATTCGTGCTAATACTTTTTTCGAACAATCGCTCTTCAGTGATTCGATATTTTCCATGTGATTTCATTGTATTAGTGCTATGAATTTTTGTCATCAAAATTTTATTTCTTTCGATTTCCTCATTAATTTTGTATGTTCGAGTCAACGTTGTTTCGACGTTCAATCAGGTTGCAGAAAGATGACGGGCACATAATAAATGTACTAATACCAGCCAGAAATCACCCCTTCAAAAGTGAGATTTTGTAAAATGCCAACAAAAAACGTCACATAATGTTGTTCCATGGCAGTGTTTCCGAATAATATTTTTATTGGTAACAACGGCAATTTTCAGTTGATATTTTATTGATATTATTATAGATATTATAATAACGCCAATGTTTTATATCAATAAATATTTTATTGATGATACTGAAAGAAGATAATTTCATGAGGACGTTTGAGGTGTCTTATTGTTAGACAGATGTACGAATTTATATAACATTTTCAGTCAGTACGTAATGTCATTAACAACTTGCTGTTCCTCGTAATCTGCGTATATAAATCGTTCACCTATCTGTTCGTATTCACACAAAATCAAAAATCGAACCGATTTTGTNCGACTCAAACAGCCGAAGCGCTGAAAGAAGCGATGAAGGGATTTGGATGCGATAAAGAGAAGGTTCTTCACGAATTAACACGAATCAACAGCGCACAACGACAAATTGTATCATATTATCTATTGTCAAGTCTCCTTTCAACTCAAGCGATAATAATATAGTTCGAGTAACATGCAGAACGTGCCGAACATTCTGAAACATTTAGAATTCATTTGCATTCCGAAACTAAAACATTTTGTAGCCCCTTAAATTGGTTGATTCGAATCGGTTCATAAGTGGTGAAATCTGTTGTAAATGATTGACGGTATGTGTTTTTAACGTTATAGATCATTGAAATGTAAGTTTGAAAAAGAAAAAAAAATGCTTCAGGTCGCTGCAGAATACATGGGAATGTACGGTAGTGATTTGCGTCATGATCTCAAGAAGGAATTACATGGCGATTTTGAAGAAGTGATCATGGCATTAACGCTTTCACCAGCTGTTTACGACGCCAGACATCTTCACAAAGCGATTTCTGTGAGATATCTTCATAAAGCGATGCACTTAGTGACTCACAAATTGCGATGCATGAAAATTATTTAAGCTTAATGTATGAACAGTAATAACGATCCATGTCCCTACTCTCGGTAACTCAGTTCACGTCCAGTACGAAGAATCGAATCAATCACATCACCTCTTTTCAAAGTGAAATTTACTAAAAGTTTTCTAGAAATG